AAAAAAAAAAAAATCAACCAAATTAGCCAGACCGAGCAACAACCCCAATACCAATCACGCCCGGGCTATGCCAAAACGGATATGCCTAAGCAGGACGGGGACAATAACGTCGGGCGAGCTGAGCTGCGGCAGGTGACCCTCGGTGGCCATGACCTCGACAATCGACTCTCCCCCAAGGCTCTGGTGGAGGTACTCGGCCACGACCACTGGCACGGCCATGTCCTTCATGCTCTGGATGATGTGGCAAGGGACGGTGACATGGGCAAGTAGGGGCCGAACATCGCTGTAGAATATGGTCTGGAGGACACTTAGGGCAATGTCGGGTCTCATGTTGAAGAGGGTGCGGCTGAACTCTTGGACCGCCACCGAGTCCATGTCGGCCCCCACGCACAGCGGGGCGAAACCCGAGCACCACGACTTGTAGTTCGCCTTAATGGCATCGAACAACTGGTTCAGATCGTCCGGGTCGAAACCCCCCATGTAGTCCGGGTCGTTTAGGTACCTTAACAAGTTATGGAAGTTCATTTAGTAATTAATTAAACTGATCTGTGGCAGCTACGTCTAATTGGGATTTTGTATATATATAATTATCTATACTTTGATTTTTTTTCAGATTATTCATCGATAAACGGGCTCCGCTCTTTTGCACCTCTAAATCAAGTGTTAACATAGGTAAAAATAAAGGAGAGAGAAGTAATAATTATTTTACCTAGGAGAAGCAGATATGGTGATGAGCTTGGTGAAAAGGTCCGGCCGGGAAATGGAGGCAATGACGCCGATCATGGCCGAGACCGAATGGCCGACGTATATGCAGGAACTCAACTGAAGCTCCTCCAAGATGGCGATGACGTCACATGCATAGCCTTCGAGGGTGGAATACCTGTCGAAGTCAAAGTAATCGGGGTTGGTTGTGCCGGCGCCCATATTGTCGTACAGGACGACCCGGTACTCGTCCACCAGGTGCGGCACCAGGTGCTTCCACACTGACTGGTCGGTACCGAACCCGTGCGCCAGGACGACGGTCTGCTGACCCGACCCAAGGACCCGGACGTTGTGAGTTTCTTGGACGATACCCATGATTTATTATTCTCTTTTCTTTTTTGCTGGTTTTTGTGGGGAGTAGGATTATGGGGGAAGGGGATGATATTTTTTCCGATGGTTTTGTAGGCCAATTTTTGGGTATGAGGCGAGGGGATGACCAGAACCACATGTTGACGTTTCTATAGATATTTGTTGATATTCCGTATTTTACATTTATTGAATTAATTTTTGTTTTTTTTTTTTTTTTTTGGGTACAGGACCTTCCGGTTTCCGGATCCACAGAGAAACCGACTAATCCGGAATAGAGCCGGGTAGGACCACAAGGGCGGCAAAGCTCTCCCTCAAAAGTTTTAACACTGCTGCATTCTCAGGGCTCAAACACGAGACCACTGGTTAAGCTGGAAGAGACCCAAACCATCTCATCCAAACGCTCTTGGGTATTGAATCAATGTCTTTTGCTAGTAGCTACGGTACGTAACAGATTTATGGGGACCTAATGGAGATCTCCAATTAATTAAGAGCGATACAAAATTATCTATCTATCTATATTTATTTATTTATACTACTTTAAAAGGAGGAGTGTTTTTGTAAAAAATCATAATGCCTAAAAAACCCTTACTTTGACATAAATTTAATAGAAAATTAGTAATACACTAATACACATCATATTTTATTTATATTTTTAATTAAAAAATGAACTACCTAAAAAACTCTTACTTTCACACGTTTTTAATGGCAAATTGGTAATATACTAATGCCATCATATCTTATATCCTCCCTATAAATAATTAAAAAAAAAACATAACTTTTCTCAATTCAACATAAGCAAATCAATGAAAATAATATATTTTTAAAAATTTTATGAACAAAAGTTTTAACTCGACAATATTATTAATGAATTTATGAATTGTAAATATTTAATTAAAATATTAATTAAAAAATTGTAATTATATATAATATAATATAGAATATACAAATTTGATATATAATGAGACAGATGATCATTCTATACTTTATATTATGTCTTTTTTGACAAATCTACAGTTAAGAACATGTGAAAGAACAAGATAAAGTTTTAAAAAAATATTCAATATAAGAAATAATATGAATAATAACTAAGTTGTGACACGTATTAATAAATATAAAACAAACTAATAAACAAAAATAATATAATTAATATAACTAAATATAAACCTTCTAGAAATATATTTATTGATGTAATCGAACTGAGTTGTTAAACACTTATTAGTTTTTTGTTCTTATTAATTTTATGTGTAAATTTGAGGTGTTAGACAATAGTTATTTGTACATTTATACATGTAGATTAGAAAAAAAAAATCTTTATTATTCTAATTTTAAATAACTTTTTTATTTACTATATTAGTTTTTTTAATATAATATATAAGTATCATATTGAAAAGATAAAACAATAAATATTTTAATTATATAATATTTAATATGTAAGAAATGTAACTCAATTGGTAAATTAATAGGTAATCTTGGGATAACATAATGAGTGATTTCTTCAAAAAAAAAAAAATTATAGGAACTAAAAAGTTCACTTGTTAATATGTTTTTAATAGAAAAATTGTAAACACAATTACTCAATAAATACTACATAAAAAATATAAGAAATCTTATATCCTCTCTATATATAATTAAAAAACATAACTTTTCTCAATTCAACATGCAAATCAATGAAAAAATATATTTTTAAAAATTTTATGGACAAAAGTTGACTCGACAATATTATTAATGAATTTATGAATTGCAAATATTTAATTAAATATAATATAATATGGATATACATATATTTGATATATAATGAGGCAGGTGATCGAAAAAATTCTATACTTTATATTATGTATTTTTTTGACAAATCTACAGTTAAGAACATGTGAAAGAACAAGATTATAAAGTTCTAAAAAATATTAAATATAAGAAATAATATGAATAATAACTAAGTTGTGACACGTACTAATAAATATAAAACAAACTAATAAACAAAAATAATATAATTAATATAACTAAATATAAACCTTCTAAAAATATACTTATCGATATAATCGAACTGAGTTGTTAAACGCTTGTTAGTTTTTTGTTCTAATTAATTTTATGTATAAATATGAGGTGATAGACAATAGTTATTTGTACATTTATACATATAGATTAGAAAAAAATCTTTATTATTCTAATTTTAAATAACTTTTTTATTTACTATATTAGTTTTCTTAATATAATATATAAATATCATATTGAACAGATAAAACAAGAAATATTTTAATTATATAATATTTAATATGTAAGAATTGTAACTCAATTGGTAAATTAATAGCTAATCTTGGGATAAATAATGAGTGATTTATGAAAAAAATATTTATAGAAACTAAAAAGTTCACGTGTTTAATATATTTTTAATAGAAAAATTGTAAACACAACTAATCAATAAATACTACATAAAAAATATAAGAAATCTTATATCCTCCCTATATGTAATTAAAAAAACATAACTTTTCTCAATTCAACATAAGCAAATCAATGAAAATAACATATTTTTAAAAATTTTATGAACAAAAGTTGACTCGACAATATTATTAATGAATTTATGAATTGTAAATATTTAATTAAAATATTAATTAAAAAATTTTAATTAAATATAATATAATATAGGATATACAAATATTTGATATATAATGGGCAGATGATCGAAAAAATTCTATACTTTATATTATGTCTTTTTGGACAAATCTACAGTTAAGAACATGTGAAAGAACAAGATAAAGGTTTAAAAAAAATATTAAATATAAAAAATAATATGAATAATAACTAAGTTGTGACACATACTAATAAATATAAAACAAACTAATAAACAAAAATAATATAATTAATATAACTAAATATAAACCTTCTAAAAATATACTTATCGATGTAATCGAACTGAGTTGATAACGCTTGTTAGTTTTTTGTTCTTATTAATTTTATGTGTAAATTTGAGGTGATAGACAATAGTTATTTGTACATTTATACATGTAGATTAGAAATTTTTTTTTTTATTATTCTAATTTTAAATAACTTTTTTATTTACTATATTAGTTTTTTTAATATAATATATAAGTATCATATTGAAAAGATAAAACAAGAAATATTTTAATTATATAATATCTAAATGTAAGAAATGTAACTCAATTGGTAAATTAATAGGTAATATAGGGATAAAATAATGTGTGGTTTCTGAAAAATAAAATTATAGGAACTAAAAAATTCACGTGTTTAATATATTTTTAATAAAAAAATTGTAAACACAATTACTCAATAAATACTACATCAAAAAATATAAGAAATCTTATATCCACCCTATATATAATTAAAAAACATAACTTTTCTCAATTAAACATAAGCAAATCAATGAAAATAATATATTTTTAAAAATTTTATGAACAAAAGTTGACTCGACAATATTATTAATGAATTTATGAATTGTAAATATTTAATTAAAAATTTGTAATTAAATATAATATAATATAGGATATACAAATATTTGATATATAATGAGGCAGATGATCGAAAAATTTTTATACTTTATATTATGTCTTTTTTGACAAATTTATAGTTAAAAACATGTGAAAGAACAAAATAAAGTTTTTAAAAAATTTTAAATATAAAAAATAATATGAATAATAACTAAGTTGTGACACGTACTAATAAATATAAAACAAACTAATACAAAAATAATATAATTAATATAACTAAATATGAACCTCTAAAAATTACTTATCGATGTAATCGAACTGAGTTGTTAAACGCTTTTTAGTTTTTTGTTCTTATTAATTTTATGTGTAAATTTGAGGTGATAGACCATAGTTATTTGTACATTTATACATGTAGATTAAAAAAAAAAAAATCTTTACTATTATAATTTTAAATAACTTTTTTATTTAGTATAATAGTTTTTAATATAATATATAAGTATGATATTGAACAGATAAAACAAGAAATATTTTTATTATATAATATTTAATATGTAAGAAATATAACTCAATTGGTAAGTTAATAGGTAATCTTTAAAGAAAAATCAGATGCAACATGGAATAGGAAAACATTGAGCTAAGAGCTTTGATCTTCATTAATTCTTTATCATAAAAACAGCTGCTATTTTGTCTCAGTTTTCGATGAATACAAAATGGAGATGAGGTGATATTTATATCACATTCTCTTAGCTATTGTGAACCACACAAAACAAACCCTAAAGAGATAAGATGGCATTTTCCTTTATGACAGCTCATAATTCTTGTACTACATTAAGCATTCCAACTTTTGTTCCTTTATGCTGCATGGCCCCATTACACGTATGCATGGATGATGTGGAGCAAGGCATTGACGTGGCAAGGCTCTCATAACTACACTGTTGACTTTCTTGACTTTTACCCCCTCTCAATTTGAACAAGGGGTGAGATATTACTCCCAACTTGTCTCTTAATCTTGTGAAAAATTGCTTTGACAGAGCCTTTGTAAAAATATCACTCACTTGATCATATGAGGACACATGCTGAACCAAGACCTCTTTGTTCATTACCTTTTCTCTTATAAAATGTAGATCCAACTCAAAATGCTTTGTCCTTGAGTGAAAAACAGGATTTGCTGCAAGGGATATAGCTCCTTGGTTATCCACCCAAATTGTAGGTGTTCTTTCCAAATTCATTTTAAGTTCACTGAGCAGATTTTTCGTCCACAGCACATCACAAAGTCCATGAGCCAAACTTCTGTACTCGGCTTCTGTACTTGATCTAGAAACCACTGATTGCTTCTTGGAACTCCATGAGATTAAGTTATCTCCTAAGAAAAGACAAGATCCTGAAGTTGACTTCTATCATCTGTAGCTGATGCCCAATCTGCATCAACAAAACTCAACAAATTCATGTTGGTGTTGTTCTTGAACATCAATCCCAATTCTTTAGTTCCAGACAAGTATTTTAAAATCCTTTTCACAGCTTTCCAGTGGGAACTCAATGGTGTTTGCATGTATTGGCTTACCTTAT